ATGAGCACCGTGATGGCGGAAGCGCTGAGCGAGCTGATGAATCTGCCGGAGACGATCGAGAAATACGTCCTCTCCTCCGCCGCGCGCCCGACCGACGGCGAACACCCCCGCCGTATCGGCTCCGGCGCCGCCGCTTTCCCGGCGGACATTGTGGACGCGCCCATGGAGTACACTTTCTACATGGACGTCCCGGGCCTCTCCAAGTCGGATATTCAGGTACCCGACCCTGTTTTCCTCATCCATATTAATGTCGAGTTCAGTTGAGTCCAGTCAATTAAGATAGTGAATGGTTTTTTTTTTTTTTTTACTGCTTTTGATTTATTGTATAGTAATTGAAGATTGAAAATATTGAATGGGTACGAGTTAAAATGTGAAAATGATTGACAAAATAATACTATAAATGATTGGTAGTTAAAAATATGTGAACATGAATATTGATTTGGTTGAAATTGCATGATTTTAACTATAATGATAATACTAAAGATAATTAAGTTGAATTAGATTTTGGTTGCAATTTGAGCTAAAATTTTTCATAATTTTGTTAAAAAAATATATAAGGAAGACAGATTTTTGTTTTTTAAACTTCCAATCGCAAATATATATTCGCAAATGGATTATTGTGACAGGTAACCATTGAAGAAGAGAATACATTGGTGATAAGGAGCAACGGGAAGAGAAAGAGGGAAGACGGAGAAGAAGAAGGGTGCAAGTACATAAGGCTCGAGAGGCGGCCAGTCCAGAAGGTGACAAGGAAATTCAGGCTACCGGAAAATGCTGACGTGTCGGCAATCACTGCCAGATGTGAGAATGGGGTGCTGACGGTGGTGATCAAGAAGCTGCCGCCGCCACCTAAGCCCAAGAAGGTGGAGGTCACCATTTCTTGAAAATGGGGTCATGAATAGTTGATTGTGATGTCTTTTGGTATTTTAGTTACTCTTAGGAGATGACAGATTGTGAACTTAAAGTGTTGTGCATTTTGTGTCTGCCTTAATTTTCTAAGTTTCAATGTCAGTTTGGACTTTGATTGTGTAATGTATCATTTTGGCTGATTGTTGTTGTGATGATATATATGTAAGCTTTGTCATTATCATCAATCTTTCTAGTTTCCTTTAGTCGGTCTAAATTTCAAATTAAGCCGTTGATGTCCAAAATTAGTAGCAAATTCAATTTCAATACATGTTCAAAAACACGGGAATTCCACAAAATGTGTCGTAATTAAACATTACAGTATTCAAGAATCCTTGCTATGAAAGAGTAAATATTTATCACAACAAAAGATGTTTTCTCCATGTAATATATAAGTCACTTCATTTCCTAAGCAATCCTTCTCTTCCTTTTCTTTGATTTCTTCGATTTACGGCCCTTCTCTGTGGACTGCCGAGATTCAACCTCGTCCACCTTTCTCTTCTTCTTCTTTCTCTTAAGTTGATGGTCTTCATCATCAACGGACGGCTGAGATTCATCCTCATCCCCCTCCATCAAATGCTGGTATTCCTCAAGGCTCGCAAAAGGGGAAACCCCGGCACCACCCTTCGACTTCCTCTTCCTTCTCTTCCCCTCGAAATCAATCTCCTCATCCCCCTCATTCGCCACATCATCATCATCGTCTAAAGGCACATCGTCCACATCATCCATCTCGTCCACATCATCCATCTCATCATCATCGTCATCACTACCACCACCGACCAAGTTGTCATCATCATCATCAGCAATTTTGTCCAAGTCATCATAGTCATAATCACCATCGTCCGCCTCTAATGGAGTTTGGCCGGGGAATAACACGTTTTCAATCTCATCATCTTCACTCGGGTCCTCCTCATCACCAACTGCGAAAAGTTCTTCGGCCGCCTCATCATCTGCCATTTTCTTCTTCTTCTTCTTCTTGGTTTTTCTGGAGGAGTTTACTTTATTGGCATAGAATTTGTGGAAAACAATATCTTCGGGCGGCACTTCATCCTCTGCTAGTGATAGGATCTCACGTCCTATCAGGTGGTGGTTCATGTCAACCTGGAGGAGCCAAATAATTTTAAGAGGTAATTATTATTTTAATTGCATATTAACCAAAAGTTTAGATTCTATAACATCTCAACAAAAAAAATAAACCCAACACATTTGAAGGATAATGTAGAATCCTATTAAACCAACCTTCTTGGCAGGTTCAATTTGAGAGGCACCGTGCCATGTGTTCTGCTTTGGTTTTTTCTCCATGAATTTGTCGAGGAAAGCACTAAGAGAAAGGTCGGTCAAGGGATTGCCGTTATAGACAATATTGACTCCGGAAAGTAGGGTCCCGGCCATTGCAGCTACAGATGGATGCACGTGTGACGCAAGCACTCTTAGCTCCCACCAGCCCACTCTATCTGCATTGCTGTTGATCAAGAAATTCAGCAATAGTAATGATAATAAATAATAGTTGTAGTAGTAATTGTTGTGCATGTGTGTGTACTGTGTAGTGATGTAATCAAACCGCACGAGCAGAGCATGGGCATTTAGAGCTCGTGTTCATTTACGCAAAAAATTAAATTCAAGCTCGTTCGTTTAAGTGTTCGTCAAAGTTTGAGTTTGTTCGGGTTCGAATAATTTACGGGGTGATTGGATCATATAAGTTATTTTGAATTTGTTGCATAATCAGAGATTTTTAATTTGTATTAAAATAGTATTTAAAATATAATGATTAAAGTTGATTGATGTAAAAGTAAGAGGGATGTGATTGGAAGTAATGGGTAGTTAAAATTATGTGAGTGGATGAATAGTGAATTAAAGTTGATCTGATGTGATCCCAGGAATGATTGATTTCTATTATTTAATTATATTAATAATGTTGAAGAGAGTTGAGTTAGTTAAATTAGATTTTGAGTTAAAAAAATTATCTTTGACCAGATAATCTAATCTATATATCCAGTCAGGGCCTTAGAACACAAACTTTTTATAAATATGTTTGATTAACTCGAAATATGTTCGTTCGAACTCGAAAAAAAAAAAATAATAATTTAAAATATTTTTACATTTTAGATTTTTTTATAAAAATATCATGTAAATATACATAAAATAAATAATAATATTAAATTAATATTCACGAACATTATTGAAATTTCGCGAACGAGCCCGTGTTCGTTCTATTATTAAATAAGCCTAATTTTCTATTCGGACTTGGCTCGATTAACGAACGAATGAGCTCTTGTCGAACATGAACAAGCTCGAATTAGCTTTTGTTTGAAGACGTTCAGTTCGTTAACAGTCCTACGTGTGTGTGATATAGAGGGAGGGAGGATTACCAATAGTTAGGTTCCCGATGCCTGGGATTGTAACCGCCAGGTAAGGCTACACCTTCTTGGAAATTCGGCACCTTATGGTCAGAGGTTATTATCTTAATCTCCTCAACTTTATTGAAACCACCATCACCAAGTAAGTCATCTCCTTCGTCAAAACCGTCCCTGTCAGAACCTGAAGTTGCAGAACCACCTTCATCATCATGTGAGGAATCACCATCACTGTCCGATCCATTGCTGATGTCAGCAACCGGGCTCTTTTCATCACTATTATCTTGAACAGGGATGGCCTCGTTTTCGTTGTTTTCATTTATATCTTCAAAATGCTCAAGATCTTCATCAGCATCAGCAGCCTCGTTTTGTAGCACCATATTCCTAAATGATTAAAATAAATACCGAATTTAATAAGGAGAAGTGAGAAAAAAATAATCCCGCTTCAATCTCCAAAAAAAAAAAAAATATCATTAAAAAAGCGTGCCTACCAAAGAGGAGGGCGTGCTTTGAGGACTTCTGATAGCAAAAAAAGGCAAGCACATGCATACTGAGGTGGCAGCTGTAAGGCAACCTGTTTGGATGAACCTTTTTTTTTCAGTAGTTGTCTAGGAAAAGGCAAACGTTTTTCATTGCACAAATTAATTTAAAGAAACTGAATACTAGTAAGACTAGGAGCATGGAACAATATTTTTGGATGCTAACCTGCAACAAGCGTTTCGAGAATGCAGCAACTCGCTTCAGATTAATGTCATTCTTCATTGCCCTCAATAATAATGCAATAAACATTTCCTCCTGTAAATTATAGATAACAAAATAAAACACTGTTGGACATTGGAGAGGATTTATAAAAAAAAGATGGGTGTATTTTGAAAATATGGGCGAGCAGGACCACGCATATGGACAATAGAAAATAATATTACGTAAAAGAGCATGCCTGTAAGAACAAGAAAGTAAATAAGCTTCACACCTTGGATGAATTCATGGCAGCTGGGAGTAGGAGTTTCGAGTACAAGGCACGATAAAATCGGTCGCTGACAATTTGGTTTTTGGATGAAATTTTGTCCAGAAGCATTAATGCTTGAACCCCAACATTGAAATTCGTCGAATGAACCTGAGAATCAAAAAACCAAAACATACTCTCAGATATAGACATCCTGGATATTAGCCCTTAAATTAAAAATCAATGCAAAAACATTTTTGTTTTTATCAAAAGTCCTACCAGCTGAAATAACACAGGTGTCTGGACCTGTACTACATCATCAGCTTCATCACTAGGGACAAACGGAAAAGCTCTATTAACACCCTGCATTTGAAGGAGCTAAAAGTGTTAAGTGTATCTTTAAAAAGCAGATTTTGTTATCTATTAACACCCAGTCCTCTATTCTATAGTAAATGATTTATAACCAAAATTAAATTGGAATTATAAATTATCGGTAACATTTACTTACAGCTAGAAGAGCTGACAATAACCGCGAATCCATTTCTACATGCGATTCTGAAGAGGCTTTCGATTTACAGTCTTTTGAGGAAGTTGAAACTTTTCCATCATTCTTTCCAACTGATTGTGATGCCCCACTCTCCGATATCAAAACCTGAAGAAAAAGTACTGCTGAATAATTTGAGCAGTAAAGTAAGAAAGATAATGCAATGCTCATGCCATGCCAGGGAACTTATTGAACACATAAGACACATACAACGTGAAAATGATGGATATATGAATGAAATGCATATGAAATCGTTTAAAACTACCTTGAATAGATCAAAATAGATACCAATCAACTTCTTTGCTGCTTTAGGCCCATCTCCTTTGTGACTCAGACGAATTTGACTCAAAAAATTTACCTTTACATCAGTAGAGACAAAAAAAAAGTGAAAAAAAAAATAAAAATTAAAAACCAGTGAGACGGTCAGTATCATGATCATCACATGAGCATATCCTCATAGAATTACACAAATCAAATAATTAGGCAAGCTGGCATTTACATGTATAGGTGGATAAAATGGAAATAAATCTATGTTCACATCCAACTGATGAATAACTGGGCAAAAATGTTTATATTCACAGCTAGTGCTAACAAGTGCAGCTTATTGCCTCAACCAGACAAAAAGCACATCATCCCGAACAAAAGTAAACACAAGTCGGAGATTGATGTAAACATACAGCGTGATATTTGGCTCGTAATCCAAGGTGAGGTCGAAAAAGGAAATTTTCTACTTCCTCAATCACCACTGCCTGCAAAAAAGTAAGAAAACTTAACTCCAACTTATGGGTAAGAGTAAGACAATTCACTGAATCAGCATATTCTGAAATACATATCCAACACAAAATCTAGAGATAGTTACTCTCTTCAAGTAACAGTAAATAGGATGAAAATATCAGTATTAAAATGTAAATGACTCGGAATTAAGGATACAATGAGGCAGAAAGTATAGAAAACCACCTTCATGTTTGGATGCTCAGTTAAAATATTTGCTAAGTGATAGTCAGCATTTGATGCAACTTTGTTTTCAGGATCTCCAAGCTGTAAGCAAGACAAGAATTGAAGTATTTAGAATCTTATTTGGTTCTAATCTAATCCTACTCAAATATGAATATTTATATACCTTATTCACCAATGCAGAGAGTAGTCGTCGCTCTTGTTCTGATTTGCTCTTCAGCAAAGTATAGATGATCTGAGATATTACATAGAACATAAGATCGAGTAAGAACATATTCATTCATTGGCTACATTTTTCAGCACCATTCCGGCTTTTGCTAGCCACAATACATAATCTAAACAATTGATACCAGTAATTATTCAAAATTGTGAACAAACTAAATTATCTCCTTATTTGGATATATCAATTTATTATAAAAAAATGAAAGAAGCTACGCAATAACATAAATAACCAGTTATGTACTCCGGAAACTCTATAAAGATCAGAAACAACTGAAATACTAACCTTCAGAGCAATGCTTTTGAGCTTGACTAACACATCAAGAGAAGCTTCCTGAAGTGCAGAAACAAAATGTTCATACCTGCAAATTTATTAGTATCTTTCACGTATCCAGCAATCACAGTCATAAAGAACCGACTATTTTAATAACATGGGTTCAATATTTCAGATTACAGTTATTGCATGAAATCATGAATACATTAGAAACCCCACTAATGATCGAGATACCTTTCTTTTAACAAATGTTCCCAATACCAAAATAGTAAAAGAGAGTGGCCATCTTTTGTATCAGACAGGTGATTTAGAGGTCGCTGAGAGAGATTCTTTAGCTTGCGATCTGGTAATAGACTGCAAAAAGATTTATACAAGATCGACTATAGCGTTAACCACAATGAAACCACAACGCTAGTCAATAGAGTAACAAAGGGATATCTGGCGTGTAATTATGTGCGCATACAGCAGGTAGAATATTAACTTATTGTTCACGTAAAAAACTGGAAACTGCGTGAAACACAAGATTGATAAAAAAAGTGTTTGCAATAATGGCTTAAGAAAATATGTTTCTATAAAGAATACGTACTATGGGAACATCTATGTTTATCAAGCCAAAGGACATCAAAGAAAGCACGAGTCCTTACATGATAAAAATTTCTTTCAGTGCTTCAAAAGCAGTGAATGCATGCCGTTTCCCTACTTTTGACGTCACCATGCCTGCACAAAATAATTTTCATAAGATCATCATCCCAAGCACGCACAATATGCAACGCTGAGAACAATAAATAATTTTCAAGATATACGACAGAACGAACTACCTCACAAGCAATAATTTTCAAGCATTTTTGCCACTAGTTGAACAGAAAATGAAAATAAAGGTAACCCACTACAATCAATCATATTTAGCCCCAAATCATCACCAATATGAAACTTGCGGAAATGATTTGAATAAAATATAATTTCTACACAATAGCAGAGCCAGTCTTGATTACAAAAAGCTCATAGACATACATTATCCCAGCTAGAACATTATAACCTTTATTAATAACTTCAACTGCATGCAGTATAACGCCACACATCAAAAAACTTCATTCAATTCAGCTCAAATACAGAATGACCAACAAAAATGCATTACCTAAAAGCGAGTCCAACGATCTCGAATTCGAGACTGCATTGTCCCCAATCAAGACAGAAAGTGCGGACACCTTGTCAGCAGCTGTCCCGGACCTCTGTGTGGCGTAGAGCATCTTAATATCTCCATTTTGCCCACGAGAGGACACGTAATCTTGTGCATACTGCGCCAACAACCGCTCTCCCAGCTCCTTCTTCTTCTCCACCAAAACCGTCCACTCCTCGGCATTTCTTACCTCGATTTTCTTATCTTTACCGACCAATTTCTCCTCCAAATCAGCAGCATCTTCGTGCCACACGCCCAGCGCACTCGCTTTCACCAACGGAAGCTTTGGGAGATTCTTAAACCTGCCGTAATCTTTTTCCGCCGAAAAATCACTGTTCCTCGGACCCTGCTTCTGGTTTTCAGCTGGTTTAGCGTCGTTTCTCCTGGGTTTCGGTTTGCGGTTTTTGTCTTCAGATTTTTTCGTGGATGAATTCCTTTGGGGCTTTGCGAGTGTTTGAGACTGAGGTTTGATGGGACCAGTTTTCCGGAAATCGGAGTCGTTGAAGCCGGACGAGGGATCGGCGGCGGCGGCGCCGCCAGACGAGAGGAAACCGAGGGAGGACGCGAAAGAGGCGACGTCGGATTGAAGTTCAGCCGTGTCCTTTGGTGGCTTTTGTTTCTTAACGGCCACCATTTTTGGAGCTCTGTGAATGTCTGAATTTGGGGAAACTGTGATGAAGCAGAAAAGGGTTTTAAGGGTTTTGGAGGGGACGACGATTGGTTGGAAAACGCTTATATTGTGCTTTGGGCTTTTAGATAATATTGTGGTATGTCTAAGGGTGAATCGGGTATGGGATAGAAAACGGCTTATTATTGGGCTTTGGGCTTTTAGATTCTATTGTAGTATGTCTATGGGTGAATCTGGGCTGGGAATACAAACGTGTTGGACAAAGTACAGAAGTCCATTGGGCAGAAGTTATTTTTTGAATATTAACATTTTGACGGCCCATCTAAAGCCGCAATCAACTTCATACTTGAAAAAATTACGCTGTTAACCTATATTTTTTATATTCGTATTTGTAATTTTTTGACGATTTATAAAGGGTTGATTTATGGTTTTTATAATTTAATTTTTAAATTGCATTTTTTTTTACTCGTTTATAAATGATTTTTGTGTGATTTTATTTTAAATGTTGCAGAAATTTTAAAAAATTGTAATATACATGTAAAGATCCTATAATTTGAAAATTCCATACAAGAATTTGCCCACGCATAGTTTAATTTATTTTTATTTTCAAATATTACAAGTGTTCTTTTTTTCTTTTTTAATTTTGTGAATTCCTACTTCCATTATTTGAGTATTTGAGTATTCACTGTATAAGTATGAATTTTTATTTTTATTTTTTATTTTTAAATGTAATGGGTTCACCAACTATTTTTATTTTTATTTCTTTAAAGTTATTAGCGCTATCTAACACCAACCTTAATGTTATGAAATTATACAACTGTCTAACACTAGCCTTAAATGTTAATAGAATTGTGTTATGAAATTGCTAGTACAATACCAACTCTTCTCTTTGTGAATGATCAAGTAATCCTTGTCTACCATCACTGTTATTTCTATAATCTATTCAAATTTTTGGATAACTGAATTACTACCAACTTTTAGACCAAGCTATCTCTTCTCTTATTGTTCTATATATACATTTTTCCATCTTTTAGTTGTTGAAGATGTTAGTAAAAAAACTAGTAACAAAGTAAGAAACTCGAGACCTGTCCAGTCCTCACACATGCCAAATTCAAGAAAGGAAAACAAAAGAAATTAAAAAAATAAAATAAAATGATCTCAATAATTTTTATCTTATGATTATATTACATTTGAGTAAATAAATCACCTAATGGAATATTTACAAAATTGAAAAATGTATCAAGTTGTTAGCTTGGACAAGGAACCAATAAGACCAAGAGGACAACGTAGCACAAGTGTGTAACAACTAAGTCCTATGACTTCTAAGAATCACAACTAGACAGGTTTGAAATTTACTTCTGCAAATGTACAATTTGGGGGGAGGAAAAACAAAAAGCTTCTTCATTTGATAAATGCCTATCCTCTGTTAGGAAAAAATTTTGACCGTTTTCCTTCTCGAGTATTGTTTGGGTCAATCATCGATCGACCCTTAAGATGGACTCGAGCACGATTTGAAGTAAACATCACGGGAAAAGCATATCTCCATTGACCCACTGCATGAATCTTTCGGAAAAGCCTGAAAGTTCGTTCGAGTTACTGGCGGCATCACAGCTGAGGTCACCACTGGCTAGCTCCTTTCCCTGGAAAAATTATTATAAAAGAAAAAATTACGAAAAAGAAAAAAAAACGATGATTAAGGATTAAGTATCAAGAGAAATGACATTATTGGTTTATAACAGAATGTAAACAAAAAGTTCTATCAGTTGAGCAAAAATCAGAAATTCTTCAAAAGCACAAGCGCCCCACACAAATTTTTCGATTTGGGAAAAGAAAAAGAGAAGGAAATAAAGAAATGGGAAAATGAAAAGTTACTTCCAAGCAACAAAAAATGGGAATCAGTTTAATTTTAGTGCTAATCATGACTCCCTAAACTCTTTATCACAATAATCTGTGTTTTTAGGTAAGTCTTTGACTCTTTGGAGAGAAATTTAAACGTGCTACCTTCAAGCTGGATTCAGGCTGATAAGATGAGTTCATTCCCGTTTTTAGCTCTCCCAGCGACATGCCAGCAGCAGATGAAGATCCAACGAGCAATGATCTAAAACCACGAAAAAGGAATAAAAATTAAAACCCTGGGACACGAGTCCTTTCTATGTAGCAGTAGGTACGGATATTTTTAAATTGAAAAATTTTTGCTTGAAAAACTGAGTGGCATGATTAAATGGAGAGCTTTATAATGTTATCATGGTAAAGATACATGTAAGGGAGCATGCATTACAAACCAAAATATATACCTCTCGTATGCTTCATCTTCACAAGAGTTTCCAGATGAAGAAAGCCAATCAACATCAAGAAAATTTGAACAGTTGAATGAATCCTCACGATCAACATAATATGTGCAGTCATTGTCCAGATACCTCTCTGGTTGTGAATCAGGGAAAAGCCGTGTACGGGGCATTGAGGGTGTATACCTTAAAAAAAAACACTAATATGAGAGAAAAGTCATACAATAAAAACTATCGACGTAAAGCCCAGTGAAGAGAGCATAACATCGCTTATACGCTTTTGCTAAAAGTGAAAAATTGAACAGGTGTAAAAGGAATAAAGTTGTGCTCCAGTAGAAAGCCAAATGTTTGATTCATTTTCCTGCACGCTTCATAATTTCTCAAGTACTGCTAAACTACGAAAATGCAATCACTCGGTACAAATCATTACAAATTAGAGAAGCATTTGCATAATCTAGAATACAGATAGGGCAAAAAAATTGTGACATCTGACAAAAGGACAACTATTATAGTAAATTCATGCTTACTGTCTGTAGTAAATTTTCATTGGTCATCAGGTATCCCAACTTCTCATAACACGGGAAGTAGTCTTTCTAGAATTTTCAGCTATTTTAAATCTAAGGGTACTAAACCTTACCTGGAATAGGATACATCACTTTCACAAGTTGAAAATTCTGGAGTTGAATCCGAAAGCCCCAGTTTACAGCCTTTAGCCTTATCAGGCACTGTTCTATGAGAACTGTCCATCTGTATAACCTTTGAATCGACAATAGGCGAGTTGTCTTCAGAAAGAATATTGCCATCAGATAGAGACCTTTTGATAAATGACCTGCAAATACAGATTTTCACCTCCAACCATCAATGCAAAAAAATCACACAATATTCATGGTCCTCTCCTTGAATAGATCCCATCAATTTTTCTGGATGATATTAAACATTTCTAACATGAAGAGTTATAATCTATTATCCTATCTGATTTTTGGCAGCTCACTCGATCTTCTATTATACATGTAGTCCACCAGAACTCGACCAACCACACAAATCAAATTGTTTGTGCACATTTCATTGTTACCTTGCACTTTCTTCTGCAAAATCAGAACCACGCCTTCGAACGTCATAATGCTGATCGGAATCCAGCTCCCATAGAGCAGGCTTACCCTGTTGTGGTTGGAAATGTCCGAGGAATCTGCTCATGGACAATGAGACATATTATTATGGAAAAAGAATAAATAAATAAAGAAGAAGAAGAAAAAACACAACAATAACATTAGACCCAATGTACTGAGTGAGATACATTTATAAAATTTTAGGAGGTTTGATTGGCTTACATGTTAATGGCATCCTGTTTCTCAGCATCCATGTAGGCATTACTATAGTAACGTTGAAGAGTTCTAAATAACTCCTGAGACTGTGTTGCTGCTTTCCACTGACCCCTTCTCTCTGAAAAGATCTGTTCAATATACACAAAATGGGCTAAAAAGAGTATACTGAAAACCATAACAGGAAGCACAAATCAAATAAGAGTGAGATTTATACTGTAGCATAAGACAGGTGAGTGGAGATATCCAAAGACAGAACAATTGATTGTAATTTTTTCTTCAATGAGAAGATATGGACGTAAAAGAGTTCGATATTAACTACATTGCATATTCTTCTTAGTCATCTGGTATAATGGTATTGTTAAAAATCCGACATTATGGAAAGAAAGAAAAATTCCTTTTAAGACCAACACATCCATTTTCACTTTGCGAAAATTTGACTAAGGGTACCTTGTTATGGGCCGCAGACCCACCGTACTGTAGAGCAAGTGTGTCACCCATAGCTTCATATATCTTCATTAGATCATCAGCCAAAGCAGAGTCTAAGCTTATGTTTGGAACAGCAATATATCCTAATGCATGCAACTGATGGCCAAGAGCAACCAGCCCATAGACGTATTGTGCCACATTTGTGCGATCCAAGCAGTCGATGCAATTCGTTCTCAGAACCCCTTTCTGAAACACCGGAGGCTTGACCAAATGACTTCCAACCTCATCATTGACACTATCTTTAGAAGTCGGGACACAAGCATCCTCAGTCGCATTGGAGAGGTCCTCATCAGAACAATCACCATAGCAGTTGCTGCTGCAAGGGAGTTGGCTGTAAAAGAGTAGACAGGTGGCCGAGGTAAATAACTAAGACATGAAAGCAATGTATTTTATTTTCCCTGATTACACAAACAACATATATGCATTCCAAGCTCTAGAAAATAGCGTTTCTGATCCAAAAATAATAATTCCAATGAATTGTGCCAGGGCGTCTGATACCATTCTTTATATATAAAGCTCCAGAAGGATACTAACAGTCGGGGAAGAAAAACTACCAAACTAAAGTTGGTTACAGAAAAGAATGATAATATACAAAATGTCTGCAGAAATAGAGGGTAGGGAACTCTACTTAACGTTGCTGCTCTACGAGACAATTTCAGTAACATAGATTATAATTTGATTATAATTTTCGCACATATCATATCAAATTCCTAGAAGCCGAAACAGCTGCCGAAAACCTTCAAACCATCAAATCAGTAGCCTAACTTGACAACCATGAACATGGTGGTAAATACTCAATTCTTGTTCTATAACCAATGCTTTTACGAAGGTTGACCAAAAATAAAAAATAATACTAATACTAAGAAACAACGAAACGACCGGATGAAAGGCCACGTATTTTTTTCCCAGTCATTTAATAACAGCTTTTCCATATTCCTGACCTTGAAGATGGGAGTACTTGACAATAAAAGAAGCCAGTCAAATCCAATGCATTGGTTGCTACTTTGACTAAATACGCCAACACACTCGCTGCCTTGCTGTAACATATACAGGAGAAGTTGAATCATCAAGTTCAAAAGTGAAAAGTAGGCAAAACAAGAACAACAGAAAAGTGACAGCCATACTTTCTGGAGTATTTACTCAAATCCCAGTGAAGGAACATCAAGCGGTTTTCATGTGCAAGATCTTTATTAATAACTTCAATAGCATTCGCAAACTCTGCACGGAGAATTGATTCTCTTGGCTTCTTCTCGCGAGTCTGCCAATCAAGAACAAGGGGTGGATTAAATAGGAGAAATGGAACCAGTAAATATCCATGAGAATGTAATGTTGAGGAAGAATATGACAAGTTGGTGATGTCAGCCCAACAATCAACACAAAAGTATACCTTAATCAAATTTAATATTATAATAGGATTCCCATATCTCTTGACTAGATTGTCGAAGTGAAGTTTGGTGGCTTCATACTTCTCGTCCTTCCTTGATACTGGACAAAGAAATAGAGTAAGTGAAAGAGGGAGCTGTTAGAACATAAACTTATTATTTGTCACATGTCTTACGTATGATGTCAGGTTTAATATTCAATTTCGAAGTCTCCTGTGACCAAAAGAGAGGAATTGAACCCCGGTTCTGGACAACAGAAGATATTTTCATAGGATTTCCTTCCACGACATCCTCAAGAACAATTTGCTCAGTCTCAACATCATTTGCTACACGGCCCTTCTCATTCACCCCCCGTTTCATGTATCTGGGACACAAAAGTGAGAATCAAATAGCTTGATATAAAGAAGAGTAGTATGGGTCTTCAAGTCCAGTAGGTCTTATCGGTAAATATAAACTTGATAATCCAAATTTTTGCACACTGTGGAATACAACTAATGATGTGCATTGTTCGTATAGTGCGCCATAAGTAAAAGGAATGATGACCAACACATATAATTGGACTGTGGGAAAATAAAATTCAAATTAAGCACCCAAAAAAGTTGGGCTGAGGTAGAAAAATCAAATGAAGCACAGGGAAAAAAATTGTCTGTACGTCATTATCATAGTATCAATCTGTAGCAGCAAATAGAGACAGAATTCGTTTTCTATACCTGGTACCAGCGTAATGACGAGATCTTCTGGCAATAAGAATTAGATTGAAATCACGCCCGGATATTGAAAGTTTAACCTGTTGAAAATCCAAATATAATCACACCGCAATGATCTCCTTAATCACAGAAAAGAGTTTCTAAATCATTTAAATACATTTAAAGAGAAAATAAACGCAATATAATGCATAAGCCACATATGACCAAAAAATAAAAATAAAAAAAGCCTAACAAAAACATTCAAGGTTCACTATGACAAGAATATAAATACAAGGTGAAACCCAAAAATAAAATATTAACGATAAAATCTTAAGAAACTGGCATAGTAATGCACTTAGAATTACCTGTCTAAAGGATCCGTAAACCAATGCCACAGTCCAACTCGAATTCTTGAGCTGATTACGAATTCCTCGAGTTAAGAACTCATTCCACACAAACATGGTCTCATAGAGAACTAATCCTGTTTCGTGATTGGTTAGATTCTTTTGAAGACTAAGCATAACATGGTAGGAGTAGCTAAAATAGAAATCCTTGGTAAGATCCACGTTGCGCAGAAGCTTCTTGTATCTAATTGTCAACATAAGAGGAAAGGGAGAGGCAAAAGCAAATGAATACAAGTCCAGTAAATAACACTGCCAAATAAAATCAGCGATATACAACATATAAACAAAAGGCAATAGATGTCCCCTGAAACTCCGCTGATACCTTGCCCCATTCAACATAAATAAACATCACAATGTGGTCTGGCCCTGCACAATTTCTGGGAAAAGGCATGGGCACTAATAACAATTTAACTAATAACAATTTAACTACCGACGATGCACTAAGATAGGTGATTAATATACTCACAACAAATATATGATCGATGCATTTCTCTTTTGCCTCAATATACTGCAGGCAAATTCTAATACATGTAGAAAATCATTAACTTCATACAACTGACTTTGTTGAAGGGTGTAGTCAAAGACTAAGGAAGTAAGAAGATACCTCCAGTGAGTTGGATTGATGAAAGTGATATAACAAAATAAAAAATTTAAATAGCTCGTTTACGACGAATTACATAAGATACAAGAGAACTAAAATGTATATAATTTATGTTCTGTCCTCTACTCCTCTCAATGTAACACAGAAATGGCAAAAGACCTGTTCTCATTCTTAGAATAAGCCATATTTGTGTGCGGAGTAGGATTTGGTATAGCAATCATCTCGCTTTTGGCAATAGAATATACTTCATGCCCACAAATTGAGCCCATCTTTTTTCTTTTAGTGATAAGCAACATGTAATAAGGTCCCAAAAGTTTTATGAATCCTGCGCGGTCACAACATTAAAGAAAGAGAGGGNTTAAAACACAATTAATTAGCTGATGTAGGTATGTTGAAGATAAAATATACCAATAATTCCATAGCAGGTGGTGACGAACTTCAATCCACCAGTACACTTGTTCCCTTCATGAATTCTTTTCAGCAGATCATAACATTCAATTTGTGAATATGTAGTAGTATCTTCAGTAACACTTAGCTCTGACTGCTCTAATCTGTTGATCTTCAAGACTTTCCAACATGTTCTATTCTTGTCTCGTCCAATCATATAGAAGTTCTAGAGCACAAGAAAACTTATCAATAATAACGAATGTGAAAATTGGAACAATAATACATTGCTGTCGAGTTTCTTGGATGCCTTCTTCAAGGAAAAAGGAAATAAGAGGAACACGGGAGAACTGCAAAAGTGCAAAGAGATTGAGAGAGCAAGGATGTGACAAAAACACACATAACTACAAGTGTTGAGAACCACCCATATTCAACATACATCCAGGAATATGGGAGGTGTCTAGCTACAGATCTTTCTGTAAAACAGCATATAGCAATTTAACATGACCAAGCGTAGTATAATAGTAAACCTTCCTCTAAATACCATTGGTTGATTTTGGGCATTTGGAAAACTCATAAAGTTTACGAATTTACAATAAGATATACATTACTTTATAAGGCACATGTAACTTGACACTTTCCAAATATTGATTTTATCTGTTTTATGAACGTGTCCAGTACGTCTCACAGACATGGCCAAACATTGACAAGGTGTCAACTTCAGAATCTAAAGTTCAATTAATGCAACAGATACTTGATTTTGATACGCACTAGATCCAGCTGGATACGAACATGAGATTTTAGAAAATGCTCAATGCACATGAAATAATATTTACAAGCACAAATGCGTGTACAGTCTCTACCTTTTTTAAACATGTGTTACAAAGGTTTCTAGATACATCTACCACTAGCAGGTCTCTACAATCTACATTTAGAAAACCACTGGCACAACCCAACCTCAACATAATGCAGTTATCATATCTTCTTAATTACTTCACTTACAATTTTTTTTTTTTTTTCTACAGCTTGAGCTAACCTTTGGCCAGCGTCATACAAGCAGTAAAAAGTCAAGACCGTAATATTCTGTCTGATTCGATACACACTTTCCAACATAAAGCCACACAAGAATGATTAGTTAATGAGATGAAAAAAGGGTCTTAAATCACCTTTTCTCCGTTCTTTCTAGTCGCCGCAGATTTATACAAAATTGTAAAATCAAAGAAGAGTGACAAACAAGACAAAGACGAACAATAATAAATTCAAAGTCGAAAAGGGAGAAACAGAGATAAACAGCGAATATGAAACATGGAGGCATGAAATCCAACATATTCAAGCATCTAAAAATATATTAATTCTTATTGGGATTACATCTACGGCTGTAATATACACATCATTAGATTAAAGTCTACTTTTCGAGGATTTGAGAATTACACAATCCACAAGAGTAATAGGACTTAAATACCCAACAGACCTACACCAACGCCTTCAACCAACCATTCAGCCCTCCAATTTTACAGCAACCACAATCTAAACAGGACAAAAACATTAAACACACAATCAAGCAACAAACCAACGAGATCAAACAACTATACCGAGCGAGTTTCATAAAGTCTGAATTTCTGCAAATAGCTGCCGCCTGAACTTCCACAGCTAGATTCCATATTCCGAGCCATGCGTGCCATTCCCCGAGCCTCGAACTCGGGCCAAGCCAAACCAATTAGAACATACAATTCTCTAAACCAGAGGCTGCAGATCNAGCTAACTTATACAATTCACTGTTCACTTCAGAAATACACAAATCAAAATTCAGAACAAAAGCTCCTACTGTAGCTATGAATCAATCAATACAATGAGGCCCGTTTTGTGCGAAAACCAGAATCGGAAAAAACTCCAAACGAATAATGGCAATACAAATCGAGAAAAAAAAGGGTTAACAATTAACAGAGATGAGATTGAGAGTAGGGCTGCTTTGCTGAGATCCAATAGGATGAGGAAGAAGACGAAAACAGAGCTCCGGCGACTGCGTCCACACAAAAAATGGCGTGTAGAGAGAAAAAATCGAATATATTATTCCCTTTTTTTTCCTACTATTTATTATTGGCTGTGTGCCAGTCTACAGCGGGGACATAATTTAGGTGTTATTTTTAAATTTGGAAAATTGAAGTAATTGTAACGGTTGCATGAGAAGTTATTAGTTGTATAATATATTAATTACTTCACATTTTAATATGATCATACATAAATTTTACAAATTAAAAAAAATATTAATTTTCATCAAATACAAGGTTTTTTTTATCAAATGATAATTATATTAGAAAATGAGAAACTCAAAACGAGTACATTAAGGTGTCAACAGACACTTCCAAAACTAATACAAAGACTGGATTCACCACAATGGAATTACACAGTCCACCAAGGGGGTTAAAATCACCCACAAAACAAAAAGCTCCAAAAAATGAGACAAAACAACTCCATAAAGGAGATTAAAGTTATACGTAGTTTGACTTAAACAGAAAAACTAAAAGAACAAAACACAAAACAAGTACAACGCACTCCCAAAATGTGCCCTCTTTATTGTTGTTCAACACCACTCATCCTCACCAGCGGGGACAACACCGGAAGGCAATCTAAAAAAGACAGGAACAGGACCCCGACATGGATCAATAAGCTCCAAACTCTATAACTCATTAGGCTAAGGCTAACTCGTTCTCAATCGACAAAGTCGAGTTCTCCTTCCAAACGGACTGCCTCCAAAAATAAGCACAAGGAAACCAACACCCATCATCTCCCCCACACCACACCAACAGCCCCGACCCGTTTTGACCGAAGAAGAAACAAACCTTGCCGGAGGATACCATCGATCTCCACCTTAGAGACACCGACATTCAGGAGAAGTAAACAGAGCCAACACAAACCCAACCATCGAGAGGCTGGTGAGCAGAGCTGGCACACCCATCAGTCCTCCTAGTCCACTGCAAAACCCGACAGGAAGGGAAACTTCCAAAAGGAGACTAGGCGAAAGGATTAGGGATAACCGGGCAGTGCCGGTCATCCTCGCAGATAAAACAAATGTACGGCGATAGGAGGAGGTGCACGAGAGTTTTTGGAAACGAGGGTATCGTTGCAATTTGGGGGTAACTTAGGCTATGTTTGGTAAAACTAACTTATAGTTGAATTCAACGAATAACTTATAAGTGAATTTCGAGCTTATAGCTGATAGCTTATGGATTATGACTAAAAGATCAATTTATATGATAAAAGTGTTTGGTAAATTAAAAAATAAGTTATCAAAAATAAAAATTTCAACAGATTTATTTAAAAAGCTACAAAAAGAAGCTTATAAAAAGCTACCAAAAGAAGCTTATAAACCAAACATACTTCTATATAGAAGACTTATAAGGTAACCAAATAAGCTATAAGTTAGTTTATGGTGCTTACTAAACACACATTTATGAGCTATCATGTAGCTTATCAGTTAATTTTACCAAACCTAGCTATGTAAAGTTTGTAAACTAACTAAATAATTATATTTATTTTACAATTACAATTCTATGCCCGAGATTCGACCCGTCCAAAACCCCCTAGGCCCAAATCGCACACCCTAGCCACACACACACACACACACACATTTGGCCTCCACGAAAATCTTCACGCTCCGCGTATTAGCAGCCACTCCCAAAGCTCGACTCACCGAATTACCGTCGACCGAGTCCACTCAGCGATGTACAGCAGAAGAGCTTCACTCGTTGCTCTCAAATCTCTTCAGCCCCTCTTGAAGGTACGCAGAGCAAACGCACCGGAGTTTCCATGTCCGATCGCCGTGCTCGATTTTGTTCGAAACCTCGGAACTGCAACCGAAAGGTCAGATATTTACAGTCTGGACGTGGGTTTTGTCGAAAATCAAGCGTTTGAGAGCAGTTACAATCAGAGTGGCTCGCCCTACGGTAGAAATTTGGGTGGAATCGAGGGAATTCAAAACCCTAGCAGGGTTTATGGGCAAAACCCGAATGGGCGATACGGTGATTCGACGGCCGAAAGCTCCGGCGCTTTCAACACTAATCAGAGTAGCCAGCATAATCAAAACCCTATTCGGCTTTACGGGCAGAATTTTGATCTGCAGCCTGGTAATTTTGAACCTTTGGAAAATGGGCTGGTGAATGCGAATCATAATAATGGACCTGGTCAGGGTACTTTTGGGGTTTCTTCAGGTGAAAATGGAAATATGTTGGGGCAAAATGTTTATAATCAATCCATGTATCAGCAAGTTGTAGCTGGGCAGTTTCACAATAACGATCCTCAATCTCAGCCTGTTAGTAGGCTGGTGAATCTTGATGAATTCACAAAGGAAGGAAAGGTGGAAGAAGCTGTAAAGCTTCTGGCCGAGCTACGTAATGAGGGCATTCATATCGACTTGCCTCGTTACACAGCACTGATGAAGGCGTGTGGCGAAAACGAGGCTCTGGAAGAGGCCAAATCCATCCACAAGCACCTCACAAGCTCAGGGGAGAATCTCGAAATCTGGACGTACAATTTAATCATGGACACGTACTTGAAATGCGGGTCCACAAACGATGCATTCTCAGTGTTCAATCAAATGCCCAAACGAAATCTCACGTCCTGGGACGTCATCATCTCAGGCCTTGCCAAGAATGGCTACGGAGAAGAAGCCACCATCCTCTTTTCGGACTTCAAAAGCTCCGGATTGAAACCCGACGGGCAGTTTTTCATCGGCGTTTTTCACGCGTGTGGTGTGTTGGGCGATACTGTCGAGGGCATGTTGCACTTCGAGTCGATGAGGAACAATTACGGTATTGCCCCGACAATGGAGCATTACGTGGGCATAGTCGACATGTTTGGGAATGCTGGCTTCTTGGACGAGGCACTAGAGTTTATTGAGAAACTGAAAATCGAACCAAGTTTGGAAATTTGGGAAACCCTTTTGAAATACTGCAGAATTCACGGGAACACCGAGCTCGGGGACCGGTGTGTCGAGCTCATCGAGCTAGCGGACCCCACACGCCTTAACGATCAGCATCGGGAGGGGCTAATTCCGGTGGACCCGTCTGAAATCGCTAAAGAGAAAGAAAAACGGAAGCTGAAAAAGGGGCAGAATCTCCTGGAACTCAGGAGCAGGACACATGAGTACGTGGCTGGGGACAGGTCCCACCCAGACCACGAGAAAGTTTATGCTTTGCTCAAGGGTTTGAAGGAGCAGATGAAAGAAGCAGGTTATGTGCCGGAACTCAGGTTTGTGCTTCACGATGTGGACCAGGAGGTGAAGGAGGAGGCTTTAATGGCCCATAGTGAGAGGCTAGCGGCTGGTCAGGGTTTATTGAACAGCCCGGCCCGCGCTCAGTTACGTGTGATCAAGAACCTGCGTTCTTGTGTGGACTGTCATAACGCGTTCAAGATTATATCCAAGATTGTGGGGCGGGAGATTATAGCTCGGGATGCGAAGAGGTTTCATCATTTTAAGGACGGGATGTGTAGTTGTAACGATTACTGGTGAAGTTCCTTCTTTTTTCGGAGGTATTACATTTCTTGATTTATTTTCTCTGTAATACGGATCAAAAACTCGTGCTTTGGATGTTAGAATTATTTGTTCTCAGTTTTACTGGTGTCATCAGTTTTCTGTATTCTATAATTTTTTGTTGTTGTTGTTGTTTATTTGGGGCAGGCGTTGAGTTTGATATTATGTGTTCCTGTAGAGTTATGACTTGTTATAACTGGTGCAATTCTCATGAGGATATTTGGACCTAATTTATAGTATTCGTTTCACTGCTGCTAAATTTGTTGTTGAAGATAAAATAATGAATTAAATGATTAAAAGCAGCAATAATATGAACGAGGGGTAACGATGATGATAATTGTTGGCGTGTAAAATGTGTCAGGGCCCTAATATGCAGTGCATATGAATATTTTGTATGTTAGAATAAAAAAACTGTTGTTGATTGTTGGTATGTTGAGCTCAGCTCATGGCCTCAATGGTGTTTATTCACTTATTTCTGTGACACGAATTGTGTGATTGCTTGAACTGTATTAGTGTTGGTTTTTTTAGTTTTTCTGCCTTCAATAGCATTCTGCATACAGTGACCTGATTTACGGCATTTTTGTTAATTCATGTGCATTTTTTTTCAGAATTTTTACCTTAGTATCCGTAGAAATCGGGGACTTATAAAACGGGTGTCAACTAAATTCAGAAAAAAATAGTCCTGGAAATCAGTAGTTCAGTACTATCATTGATCTGCCTCTGATAATATATTTATGCCTCGGCATAAGATTTATTCATCCCAACATAGGAAAAAAAAATAATAAAATAAAGGAAAAAAAAAAAAAATCCTGTCATGGGTTATCTATGAAAGCAGTGAAGTGTAGGAATCACTCTAGAGGCACGCGAAAAGTCCCTTCAGGCGGCCATCAGGTTGGTTCCAAATTTGACTTGTTATTTGTCCGTACGCACTCTCGGTAAGGTGGAAAGAGTCCCAAAAGACATATTCACTCGGTTTTGGACATAAGCTAAACTCCTTGATCGGCCTTTTCCCTCCACAGCTGAACTCGCCATTGAAATGGCCAGACCCACAGCACGCACTTTCCCCGTCCTTGAAACCTGCATGTACACATGTAAATTAGATTGAAAAACAACAACAACAACAACAACAGCAACATAGCCTTTAGTCCCAAGCAAGTCGGGGTAGGCTAGAGATGAAACCCAAGAGAAACACAAAAAGACTCGAACCGAAAGGAAGAGATCGAAAAAAAAAA